TTTCTCTTCTGCTTTTCTCTCTCTTTTCAAAAGAGAGAGAAATGTATTTATTTTGAGACTGATTGCATGTGTACTCATGTACCCACACACAAGCAGGGTAGGGGCAGAGAGGGGGAGAGAGAGAATGCCAAACAGGTTCCTCACTGTCAATGCAGGTCCAATGTGGGGCTCCATCCCATGAACTGTGAGATCATGACCTGAGCTGAAATCAAGAGTTGGACACTCAACCAACTGAGCTACACAGGTGCTCCTCTTTTTTATTTCATTCATTTCTGCTTTTATATTTTATTTCCACCTTCCTGCTTGCTTTGAATTTAATGTTCTCTCTTATATTTTATTAAAGTGGGAGATGATATCATTGACTTGGGACTTTTCTTCTTTTTCTATTTTAGGTATTCTAAAGCTTTAAGTTTTCCTCTAAGTGTCCTGTGTTGGATGTATCCCCATAAATTCTGGTAAGTTGTATTTTCATTATTAGTCAATTAAAAATATTTTTCTTGTGACTTATTCTTTCACCCAATGATGACTTAGAAAGTATGTGGTTTAATTTTCATATATTTGGGGTTTTCTTGTTATCTGATATTTTTAAAATTACTACTAAAGTTTACTTAGTATGGTTTTCTTTCAATTTGCATTCATTAGTTTATTATCTTGCAAACTAGTAATTCAGGTCATTTATTTTAAGGCACAGTTAAAATTTTCTGCTCTGAGTTACAGAGTAAAAAAAAAAATCTGCCATTTTAAGTGTTAGAAGTTCAAGTTTTCTTTTCTAGAGATTTTCTTTTTTTTTACTTTTTTTAAAATGTTTTATTTATTTTTGAGACAGAGAGAGACAGAGCATGAACGGGGGAGGGTCAGAGAGGGAGACACAGAATCTGAAGCAGGCTCCAGGCTCTGAGCTGTCAGCACAGAGCCCGACGCAGGGCTCGAACTCACGGACCTTGAGATCATGACCTGAACCGAAGTCGGACGCTTAACCGACTGAGCCACCCAGGCGCCCCATCTAGAGATTTTCTTTTGTTTTGAATTTATATAAATGTTTATTAACCTTTATAGTCAAGTTAAAAAAGAGTTCTGTTGAATTGAGGAAAATTTATAATCTAATTCATTAGTTATTTAATTTGGAGATAAGTCAAGGTAAACTAATTTGTTGAGAAAACATTTCATAGAACATGGAAAAATTCTATCAAACTCTCTTGAGCAAGCTAGGGAATCTATTTGGAGTTCATAGCCAGGTTTCTATTTCTTTATTTGCTCTTTGTTTTCTGCAGTAATTGTGTGGTCAGACTATGGCTTGAGCTAAAGATTTAACTTTAAAGTCCTTCCTGGGGGTTGGCAGCGGGGGGTGAGGGGGTTGCCTGGGTGGCTCTGTTGGTTAAGCACCTCACTTTGGCTTAGGTCATGATCTTAAGGTTTGTGAGTTCAAACCCCACATCTGCTCAGCCTCCACTGTCAGCACAGAGCCTGCCTCAGATCCTTTGTCCTCCTCTCTCTCTGCCCTTCCCCTGCTTGTACTCTCTCTCTCTCAAAAATAAATCTTTAAAAAAAAATGTAAATAAAGTAGTTGCTGGGACAGGGCAATCTCCTTTATATTTTGACCTAGCTCATTTATACCATTCTGTGTGGCTATTTTATTTCTTTTGAGATGAAAGAGAAAAAATTACATACGCAGAACACTTCAGATTTCTCATGTATTTACCAACAGGAGGACACGAAGCTCCTGATGAGCTAGAAGCATTAATTCCCAGTACAACATGCATTTATATAGTTTATACAATTGTTGTAAATACTAAGAAACCCTTTTTGGAAAGTCCTTTATCTTTGCTTAAAGCCATATAAAATCAATATAAAGTTTTTTTCTTTAATTTTTATATAAGGAATTTTTTCTAGCCTTGAGATCAGTCATATAACATTGTATAAACATAAGGTGTACAGCATAATGATTTGATATATGTATATATTACAGATTACCACAAGCCTCCCTCCATAGTTACAATTTTTTTGCATATGGTGAGAACTTTTAAAATCTATTCTCTTAGCAACTTTCAACAATATGATATAGTTTTGTTAACTATAGTCACCATGCTATACATTACATCCCCACAACTTACTCATCTTACAACTGGAAGTTTGTACCATTTGACCATATTAACTCATTTACCCCACCACCCACCCCTGGCAACCACTAATCTGTTCTCTGTGTCTATCCAGTTTTTTAGATTCCATATATAAGTGAGATCATACAGTATTTGTCTTTCTCTGACTTACTTCATTTAGCATAACGTGTTGAAGATCCAACCATGTTGTTGCAAATGGCAGATTTTTTTTTATGGCTGAATAATACTCCATTGTATATACAATTGACCTGTGACCAGCAGAGGTTTGAAATATATAGTACTGTATATTTTTAAAATTTTTTAATAAAAATATACAGTACTGTAAATATATTTTCTCATGATTTTCTTAATATTTTTTCCCTAGCTTTGCTTTATTATAAGAAAACACTACCTAATATACAAAATATGTGTTAAGCAACTGTTTATCAGTAAGGCTTCTGGTGAACAGTAGGCTTTAGTAAAGTTTTGAGGGAGTCAAAAGTTATACACAGAGGAAGCTTTAGTGTTTTCTCTGTATAGGATCACATCATCTGCAAATAGTGACAATTTTATTTCCTTACCAATTTGGATGTGTTTTCTTTTCTTCCCCTGCCACCCCCTTTTTTCCTTTTTCTTATCTGAATGCTGTGCTTAGCACTTCTAGTACTATGTTGAATAAAAGTGGTGAGATTGGGCACCTTTGTTTCCTTATATTAGAGGAAAAGCTCTAAGTTTTTCACCGTTGAGGTTGATGTTAGCTGTGGGTTTGTCAGATATGGCCTTTGTTATATTGTGGTATGTTCACTCTGAGCCCACTTTGTTGAGAGCTTTTATCATGAATGGATGTTGAATTTTGTCAAATACTTTTTCCGAAGTTATTGAGATCATGTGATTTTTTTTTTTTTTTTTATCCTTCACTTATTTTTTGGAATAGTTTAAGGGGAATATGTTTTAGGTCTTCTTCTTTTAAATGTTTGGTAGAATTCACTACTGAAGCCATCTGGTCCTGGACTTGTTTTTATTGGGAGTTTTTTGATTACTGATTAAATTTCCTTACTAGTAATCAGCCTGTTTAGCTTCAGGCTTTTGTTTTTAAGATTTTATTTTTCAGTAACCTCCATACCCATCGTGGGGCTCAAACTCACAACCCCGAGATCAGGAGTTGCATGCTTTTCCGACTGAGCCAGCCAGGCGTCCCCAGGTTTATTCTTGATCCTTGCGTGTAGCTCCCCCAAGACTTTCAGGCTTCAGCTCAAGTGGAGGTGTTTACTTGGTCCTTCTTACTTGGCCAGCTCTGGTCTCTATTCTTTTTCTTCTACTCCGGAGAATCTGCAAAAATTCTTTTCAGATTCTAAGGCTCTTAAATATTTTATAGTTAGCCTTTCAGCCACTCAGCACCTGATTTCAAATCAGAAATCACCTCAAGAATAAAATCATACAAGTATCAGAGTTCCCGATATAGATTTCCCAAGCCCTCTGTTATCTTGTCCCCACAAATCCTCACAGCTTTCATCTTGTTCCCATGCTGACAAATTTATATGCACGTGTGTGTGATAAGTCAGAAAGAGACAGAGACAGAGAGACCAAGACCTAGATATATAGATGTTATTTATTTCTGGAAATTCCTGGTCATTGCAATGAAATATTTACAGGTGATGGGATTTCCTACTTGAAAATCTATGAAGTTTTAGTTAAAAATTACTAAATCTACCAAAGAATTCAATCCTCAATATTATACAAGGATTTGGTCAAATAGTGTTTTGATTATATACTCATGATAGAAAAGTAAACAGACACATAATTTTTGTCTTATGCTTCAGTATGTATGAAAAATAAAAGTGCACATGTGCAGCCACTTCACATTTATTCCTGAATAATGAAAGACACATATAGCAGCCTTTTTATATCAACAAAAATTCAAAAATAAATACCCTTGAATAAGGAGATAATTTTAAAAATTATAGCCATACAACAGGGTATTTTTATTTATATGACTTGTAAAAATATGTCACCAGCAAATCATAGGTATATTATAAATATATGTGTATACACACATACATAAAAACCCATATTTCTGATATGTGTATTCAAATATAACCATACATACACATCACCTTCCCCTATTCTTTGCCTTACTATGTCTGTGTATGTGTGTGTCTCCATTTGTGTGTTTAACCAGTAGGGGAAAACAGGAAGGGCATCCTTGGACAGAGCAGCAAATTCAAGTTTTATCTCATGTTATTGCCTCTGGCTAGAATGATCTTCTGTTTTCTCCCTGCATGTATATACTTATACATACATGTATACACAAACATGCATCACACACGATTTTTTTTTTTATTTTATTTTGAGAGAGATTGAGCACAAGCAGGCAAGGGGCAGAGAGAGAGAATCCCAAGCAGGCTCCAAGTTCAGCACAGAGCCTGACATGGGGCTCGATCTCATGACTGCAAGATCATGGCTTAAGCTGAAATCAAGTGGGATGCTTAACCAACTAAGCCACCAGGTGCCCCCCCCCCCAGTTATTTTTTAATAATTATTGGGAAAAAAACAAATTGTACATGCCAAACTATCAAGAGATTATTCCCCTGGAGAGCTAACTGGAGTAAGAGACGAGCAAATTTTATATATTTAAAAAACTTTTTTAACTCAGGATAATTTTTAATATTCAATATGACATTTGAAGTCTCTTACATTTGGTATACACTGCAGATGAGATACAGCTTAAGATCTCACAATTACAAAAAGAATTTTATTGGAAAGTGAGTTTTTGTTCCATGTGGGGAAATCTGAACTGAATCTGAAAGGATGAGGAAAATTAGAAGAGACAGGGTCAGGAATGTCATACAGCTAACACACAGGACAGAAAGCATCTGGCTTGTTCACATGAGGCCTGACCTTTCTTCAGACTGGAATGAAGCACAGCTTAAATACGGGCGGTGCAGCACCCACCCCATTGACAATTGGGGCAGTTTCAAGGTCCTTTGGATCAACCACAGATTTCAACGTAAAATGCTGTAAAATGTTGGTCAGTAGTAAAAACAGCTCCATGCGGGCCAGGCCTTCTCCAATACAAACTCTCTTTCCTAAAAATGACACATAAATACTCAATTTTTTTTCTGAGTCAGCACACAGGGAAGAAAATAAATATATTAATAGACTAATTAACCTATGCCTTCTTTTGTCTACACTGAAACCTGGTTACCTTCATTTCCTCAGTACGTTTCTGTGGGCATGTGTAAAGGCCAGGGCAAGTCACCACAAGATGGGCCACTTTGGCATAAAAATTATTTTTAGTTAAAAGCAATCAAAACCCAGCAGATTCAAGAAAAGCTCCTTACCTCTCCCTCAACTTCCAGCTTATACCAAGAAGAGAGCAATTAACAGAGATTCTTCTTTACCTAAGAAACTTCTCTGCGTAACAGGGAGACCTTTGTTTTTGAAACATCTCTCTCACCTTCCCGCTAACGGTGTTCCTTCCCTGTGAATCCCCAGACCCCTTCCCCTCTCCTTAGCTCAGGACGTCATAGAAACCTCATGTTGCCTGACTGTATTTGAAATTTCATGTCTGTGGATTCCCCATATCTATGAAACTAAATTTGATTTTCTCCTCTTAATCTGTCTCATGTCAATTTCACTTTTTAGTCTAGCTGGGAAGGACCTTGAAAGGCAGAAGAAAATTTTTCATCCCGGACACCTGGCCTAGTTGGTAGTACACTTTAACACACTGGATGCTGCTTGTCACAAACATAGCTGTGGCTGGGAGATCCTTGGGACATCTGACCTAGAGCCGACAGAAGGTAAGATTTCCTACCATGTCAGTCTCCTGGAATCTGAGGAGTCTGATAGAGCAAGAACGGTGAGAGTCATTCTCTCTTTCTAAATTCAGATTAGCAGGAGAAAATACTTGTGTAACTGGGTCCTTGGACTTAGCAACTCTTGGTAAATTTGGTAGAGCACTCTTTTGGAGGAAATAGATTAACCAGAGATAGTCTTTGTTTTCCTTGTTTCTCTTATGTTGTTTGTCATAATAAGGAATTAGCATAGGGCAGAAAGCAGGCATAGGCCCTATAAGCCTGCTGTTTAAAGGACATCTTGGAAACCAAAGCTGCAAAACTGGTGGGTGCGGGTCGAACACTTAAAAGCTATTAGAGCACTTGCCACCTTAAGAAGGTTCCTGTGATAGGATAAATTGGTCACAGAACAGGTTAGATTAACACTTGGCCACCTGCCAACCTCAAGGAAACAGCTGTGTAATGAGGTACACTTGAAAACAACACACAATCCCCAACTCTGTGGCACATTCCTCTTAGGAATGAGTGTGGCTCCAAGACACCCAAGATTTAGCTGAAAGAAAAACCAGATAGGGTTTTTCCCTTTGTCTTGTTCATAGAACAAGCTCCTAAGAGCTTGGCTTTGTGAGCAGTGATAATATGCTCTTTGGTCTCCACCATCTACCTATCTGGGTGCACCTTAATGTCCAATTGAAAGGAAGAGGGATATGAGTCTCTCTCTCTTTCTGTCTGGCCATGCCAGCTCTCAAGGGTGTTTGTCATGAGAAGTCCCAGCCCATAGGAGCCTTTATATTCTCAACCTTCATTTCTTGTTAGTGCTGGAAACTGCCATTATAGGAGCACATGCCTAGTGTCACGGATTATTGTCTTTGACTGGAAGCATCTCAAGATTTTGTTGGAGACCAGCAATGAAGGCCTCTGCTTTCTTAGATTAATTATGGGAGTAAACTTTTGGATCATGAGGGCTGTGTCATCTATGCCCTTTCTCTGGACACCTCTTGTATCTTTGGTTAAGGCATTAAAAGGCTTATTGGTTTGAGTTGCTCATAAGAGATCCTACTCATCAATGGCCCGACGACAGATCCTTTAAATTAGTTAATGTTTGAAAAAAGAAGAAAAACATTTTAAACTTAGTTGAATGGCTAGCCTCAGGGATTCCCTTGATAAGATGAAAGAAGAGGAACTAGACTTAAAATAAAGGTCCACATACAACATAAATTCTCCCTAAAATGCCTATTTTAACTTCCCTTTCCCTATAAGGATTTACAGAGAGCACTCCAACTTCATCTCTACGTTCAAATTCTACAGGCTGCTCATGTAATTGCTGAAATCCAGGAAAGGAATTTAACAAAAGCAATAAGGCTGACTTTGCTTCTACCTTCCAGGGCACTGTAATTAGTTTATGACAGCTTCAGGCATTCCTAGGCAATGTACTTGGCTAGTGTATCCTAGACCCCCAAGGCAAAAGAATTTGTGTCCCCTGGACAGCTGCAAAGCTTTTAAATTATCAAGCCCTTTTAACCTCTACTTTCAAAGGATCCTAGCAAATTTAGAGAGAAATTAAAAAGATTAATCACTAGTCACAACCCTCCCTTCAGAGAGGAAACATGACCAAAATTTCTCCTAGGCAAATGATCAGGGAAAGGCCAATATTCAGGGACTGTTAGAAGCCAAGATTAAATTGTGCAACCAGAAAGAAGGCTTTTGTTAAAATGCTTCACACAGACTTTACAAAGGCATGAATCTTTTGATTCCCATTTTAATAAAAAATCTGCCTGATATAAAAAAGCAAATTTAGTTTAAAAAAAAAAAAAAAAGGGCCAATCCCGTGATATTCAGGCTGTAATCCAGTCCTTTGAGGAATTAGAAACAACTCTCTTTCAAAGCTCTACAAAACCAGAGATGCAACTCTAGAAACAAGTCAAAGCTTACCTCTCTTTACCAATCCCCAAACCTGGTCTATTTCTCTCAAAATGTTTACAGATACTACAGAAGATTACAATTTGGAACAATATTGTTTAGGACTTAAAAGAATAATTAAATTTTAAATAGTAATTACACTGAAACTCTAAAAAAAAATTTTTTTTTTACCTTCTCTGTCCCTTGAAATTATAAATTTAATGTCTTTGAACACAGCCCACAATCACCTGAGACTGAAAAAAAAGCAAAAGGTGGGGTAGGGCGACAGTGGTAGGGGAAGAGGCCTTTCCAAGTACAAACTGCTAAAATGCCTCTTGTGTTCAGACTTGGAAAAAACTTGGATACTTTTCTCTGTGCCTTTGTGATGTAAATTTTCTACATTTATCATCTCTAGGATGTAAAAGCCTTTCTTTTAAATACAAACTTCAGGGACACCTGAGTAGCTCAGTTGGTTATTTGACTTTTTTTCTTTTTTGAAGTTTATTTATTTTGAGAGAGAGCGAGCATGGAGGAGGGGCAGGGGTGGGGGGCAAGAGAACCCAAGCAGGCTCTATGCTGTCAGTGCAGAGCCCAATTCAGGGCTTGTCCCCACAAACCATGAGATCATGACCTGAGCTGAGATCAAGAGCTTATGCTCAACTGACTGAGCCACCCAGGAGCCCCAGTATCAGACTCTTGATATTGACTCAGGTCATGATCTCAGTCATGAGATCGAGCCCCACATTGGGCTCCATGATGAGCTTGGAGTCTGCTTGGGATTCTCTCTCTCTCTCTCTCAAAATGAAAAAATAAACATTAAAAAAAATAAATTTGTAAAAGAGCTCCATTTAGTTGGCTTGAAGACAAGTACTTGTAAGGACTGGGCATTCTAAAACTCAGGAAGATAGAAACTAACCTAAATATTTTTCAAGTTTATGTGATCTCAGAAAATATTCAATATTAAATTTTTTAATGTTTATTCATTTCTGAGACAGAGACAGCATGAACAGGGGAGGGGCAGAGAGAGAGGGAGACACAGAATGTGAAGCAGGCTCCAGGCTTTGAGCTGTCAGCACAGAGCCTGATGTGAGGCTCAAACTCACAAGCTGTGAGATCATGACCTGAGCCAAAGTTGGATGCTTAACCCACCAAGTCACCCAGGTGCCCCGAAAATATTCAATATTAAAGCTAATTTAAAGTTGTTGGTTTAGAGTACCTGGGTGACTCAGTTGGTTGAGACTCTGACTCTTGATTTCAGCTTAGGTCATGATCCACAGGGTCATGGGATCAGGCTCTACATTGGGCTCTATGCTCAGCATGGATTCTCTCTCTCCCTCTCCCCTGCTCGCATGCACTCTCTCTCTCTCTCTCAAAAAATTGTTGGTTTAATTAAAATAGCCATGTCTTTAGAGTTATCAGGATTAAATATAAAACTTTTATTCTGCCTATGTTTACTGAAAGTCAAATAAGTCCATATTATAGCTTACAAAATTTGTCAGGAAAAAGAAACTTAAAATAATGGTTGACTTTGTCTAATACCTTATAAAATTTTGTAGCTAGTCTCAGCATAACAGTTCAGAACAAGTAAATAGATGTAGGGGTGCCTGGTGGCTCAGTCAGTTGAGAGTCTCACTTCAGGTCATGATCTCACAATTCATGAGTTCGAGCCCAACATTGGGCTCACTGCTGTCAGCTTGTCAGCACAGACCCCGCTTCAGATCCTCTGCCCCTCCCCTACTTGTGCTCTCCCAAAAAATAATAAAAATAAATAGATAGAAATAAGATTAAATGGTTTGTAGGTAAACTTTTAAAGGGCTACCAAAATCTTCAGTAACCTGAAGTTTTAAAGTTTGGCTAAGTTAAATGTTAAGTTAAATTCATTGAATATCTAGATCATTTCCAAATAAGATAAAATAATGAAACCTTAAGTACCGAACATAGGTTTATCTGTTTTTGTTTCTTTTTTAAAAAATTTGTTGATTTATTTTGAGAGAGAGAAAGTGAATGTGAGCAGGGGAGGGACAAAGAGAGAGAGCATCCCAAGCAGGCTCTGCAATGTCAGTGCAGAGCTCAATGCAGGGCTTGATCCCATGAACCATGAGATCACGACCTGAGCCAAAATCAAGAGCCAGTCACTTTACTGACTGAGCCACCCGGGCGTCCCTCTATTTTTGTCTTATTACAGAGAAACTAAAGATAAATTTGGGTCTGTGAGTAAACCTGGTTTGTTCTTTACTGAAAGACTGTACTATGATGAAGTACATGTTTCTAAGTTACAAAATGTATTCACAAATTTGCCAATCTAAAAAATACTGCTATTATAGTTCACTGTGAAAGTGAGGTACTTCCGTCACAGACCTGCTAATCTGTGACACCAGGCAGGCACTCCTGTAATGGATCTTCCTGGCACAAACAGGAAACAAAGGTTGAGATGACAAAGGTTCCTATGGGTTGGGACCTCTTAAGAACTGTCATGGCCAGAGAAAGACTTGGAGACCCATTCTATTTGGCCACCAAGGTACACCCTGTTAAGTGCATCCTCCAGATGGTGGAGACCAAAGAGAATATTCTCACTGGTCACAAAGTCAAGCTCTTAGGACAAAGAACAAGACAAAAGGAAAAATCCTATCCTGTATATGTGCACTTCAACAGCTTTACCTAAGTGTTGGGTAGCTTGGAGCCACACTAATACTTGAAGGATGTGCCACAGGGTTGGGGATTGTGTGTTGTTTCACAGGGTGCCTTTTTCTTGAGGCTGGCAGGTGATCTGTTATCAATCCAACCTGTTCTGTGACCAACTTACCCCATCACAGGAGACTTCTTGAAGTGGTGAGTGCTCGAACAGATTTTTAAAAAATATATTTTATTTTTTGGAGCACCTGGGTGGCTCAGTTGGTTGAGCATCTGCTTTTGGCTCAGGTCATGATCTCATGGTGGGTTTGTGAGTTCGAGCCCTGCATCAGGGTCTGTGCTGACCGTGAGGAGCCTGCTTGGAATTCTCTCTTTTTTAAAAAATTTTATTTTTTAAGCAAAATCCACACCCACCATGGGTCTCAAACCCACAACCTTGAGATCAAGAGTCACACACTCCACTGACCAAGCCAGCCAGGAGCCTTAGTTCTAACTTCTTTTAAGTGTTCAACCCATGTCCACCAGTTTTGCAGCTTTGACTTCCAAGAAGTCTGTTAGCAACAGCTTTGACTTCATGTACCCATTAACATAGGGCAAAGTTTGTAGGACAAGTGACATAAAAGACACTAAGGAGAACAAAGACCATCTCTGGGGGGAAAATCAGTTACCGAAGAGTATCCTACAAAACTCAACAAGAGTCAGTCCCTAAGCCCAAGGAACCAGACCTACAAGTATTTTCTCCTGTTAATCTAAATTTGGAAAGAGAGAAAAAGGACTCTTATCATTCTTGCTCCACCAGACTCTGTAGACAGAGATTCTCAGAGACTGACATGCTAAGAAATCTTACCTTGTGCCAGCTGTCCTCAGGGACTTTTGGCTATCATAGTGTGTGGGGCGAGCAGGGTCCAGTGAGTTAAGGTGTCCGCTGACACATGAATTGTCTGTTGGGGAGCAAGAATTTCCTGTCCCCCTCAAGGTCCTCTTAGCTGGACTAAGAATCAAATTGACATGAGACAAATAAACAGAAGAAAACCAAATTCAATTTCACGTGTGCAGAGAATCCACACAGACCTGAAAATTCCAAAGATGATCAGGCAAAATAAGGTATTTATGTCATCCTGAACTAAGAGGGTAGGAAAAAAAGAAATATTACAAATCAGCCACAAACATACTAACTAATCACTAATCCCCAGACTGGCAATTTCAAATGCTGTCTAGAGTCTAGTCATTCCTCCAGCGGAAATAGCCCTCCATTCTACTCTGCCTGCTCATATTTTCTACATCATTCTAGATCCAGCTCAGATATCATTTCTTTTATGCAAAGTTCTTTGATGTGCTCAGAGCATATAACTCCCTTCTTTATCTGTTTTCCATAACACTAGTTAATGCTTCTAAAACAGCACATTTCAGATGAAGTTATAATTATTCACCTATCTCACATACTGGAACATAAGTTCTTAAGGTAAGGCCTCAGATCTTGTAATGACACTCACAGTATCAGGGCAAAAGTAGGTCTGCAAGCCCTGTGACTTGAATAGAAATCTCAAGGAGTCTCATTACGCAGTAATGGGCTCAAAATATAGGAAGAAAGGTAAGGAGTAGTATAGCAGCATCTTGCTTTGAGATAATCTCCGGGAGTTGCACATAATCCTGGGACCACGATAGCAAGGGTTGCTTGATACTTGTTTTTCTTAGATATTCAATCAGGAGCAAATCTCCTATTTTTGTCTCTGTTTCAATTACTTCTACAGGAAAGGCCTGTTACCCTCCTGTCTTCCTCCTGTTTCTCCTTTGGAGTGTGCTGAATATTTTCCATTTCTCCTGCCTTCCAGCTCTATTTTGTGTTTGTCTTTTATGCCTACTCTGTGTTCAGGAAGGTGATTTCTATAGATGCATAAACTGAGATGTTAGTTCCCTTCTGAGTTCTGAATAAATTCAGAGCATTGGACATTAAGAAAGTCAGAGTATTTATTCCCTCAATCCTACCCTGTCAGGCTATAGTTCAGGCAGTGGTTGTATCGCTTTACTATAGACACATCTCCCGTTGAGGCATCCACTCTTTCTTTCCTAAAGGTCTATTTGGATCCCAGTAATGCCCTCCTTCCCTCATCCTTTCCAACTTAGGATGGTAACCTCTTCCTGCTTATGCTAGTCTCTGAGTACTTTATATCTTGTTATTTACCTTAATCCTACCCACCCTCTGAAAATCGTCTCATCGTCACATTCTCTTTAATTAGCCTTTTTGAGTATGCCACCTGTTTCTTCCCAGACCACTGACAAATTAAAGGAAGATACTCAAATTTCCATTACCCTCTGCTCCTGCCCCTTTATAGGCATCTCAGTGGTGGGTCCTGGTGCCAAACTTGGTGAGGGCAGACTCCAATTGAACGAGAAATAACCTGGGCTTTGGGAGTGATGCCTCTAGCCTCATACAAATGACAATTTGTTCAGTCCAGAATAGCCTCCACGCAAAGCCTTCCTCATCTCACTGACCCCTGATGCATACATAAAAATGAAGCTTGCTTACCTGCTGAAAAAGCCAGGAAGTAGTCACTCTTCTTAAAGTTGCCACTTTCATCCAGGAAGTGGCCAGGATCAAACTGATCTGGGTTGGGAAACTCTTTGTCATCATGCAGGACAGAAGTCAGAGATGTTAATATGGTTGTGCCCTGATATAAAGAGAAACAGATAAACTGGATTATGATGAAGGTCATGGAGCTTGAAATCCTTTTGTTTTATAGATGAGGAGACTGAGACACAGAAGTGATTTATTTACTCCATGTCACAGAACAAACTAATGACCAACCCTAACAGGTTTTAAATCATGTAATGGCAGTCCAAAGCACTGTTAACAGACTCCAAACTTTGTAGCCTGACACCAGCACTTGCTTTTCAGAAAACTAAGGGAGCTCCCTAGAGTGCACTGTTGACCAATGGATTTCAGTATTGTCTCAAGGTGCTGATGCCACTGAAAATGAGGTCTTCAAAACTCTACTTGAGTGGCCATATTCTTGAAAGCCCTTCATCTTCCCATCAAAATGACAAACTTAGGGGTGTCTGGCTGGCTCAGTTGGCAAAGTGTGGGACTCTTGGTCTCAGGGTCTACGGGTTCTGACTTTGGGCATAGAGCTTACTTAAAATTTTTTTAAAGGTAACAAACGGGTAAGTTTAAAAGAGCTATGCTGTTTCAACTGAGTTGTTGCATATTATTGTAGAAATGAGAGAGCATTTCTGCTTCCTAGTAGGGTGTTATTAAACTCATAGATACAGTGCAACATAATGACTTGGAGGTTAGTTTTCAAAATCAACTGAATCTTTGGAAGACAGTATGGTCAGTCCTAGAATAGGCTTCCATATAAAGTTAGTTACAAAACACTTCTCCTGGCTGGTGGGACCATCTACTTCAGACTATAACAAAATAACTGCTTTGGAGTTGTCCTCACGACTAACACGAATATAAATCCAGAAAAAAACGTATATGAAGAAACAGTTCTCTGGCACAGAACAAGAGGCAATCCAGGATTGTGATACTTCACTAAAGAAAAATTAGGAGGAAAGTGTTGTCAGGCAGAAATTCAGAGTGATTGTAGGGTCTACCTAAGAGTTCAGGGAGGTGAGGGTCAAGCAAAGTGCTACTCTTTTTTGAGCTAAGGAGACAGAGATAAAAACTTGGCATCTAGAATTCATGAAGAAGGATACAGGCCAAGAAGAATCTACAAATAGAGAGGATCTCAAAGGTATATAAGACCTATGACCTTATAAGACTCTGTGAGTCCATGATTATGGGTTGGGAGGCACAAACACAGGAAACTCCATGAAGCCTATCAGGGTACGACTGCTTGAGAACTGCAGGTGGATAACACATGTTGTGCAGTGATAGAGGAACTGAGGTTCCAACCCAGCTAGGATGGAAAGAACTTTCTTAGCACCTCAGATGCTAAGGCAACCCCAAACTTCTAAATCGTTGGACTAAGGAACTCACATCAGACTAAGGGCCATGCACGAAGACTAATTTCAGAATTGAAACCAATCCACAACGGAAGAGTTATAGTAAGCCTCACAGACTGAAAAGCATCTGTCAGTAATTTAGCTGCCTGCCAAAATAAAAGTCAATGCTCTTTAAAGGAAGACAGCATAATCCAGACTCCCCACAAGGCATCATTCAAAATATTAAGCATATAATAAATCATTAAACATGTGAAAAAAGAAATGTGACCCAAAATTAAAGAAAAAAAATTCATAGAAACAGACCCCATAATATCCTAGTTGTCAGATTTATCACATAAGAGCTTCAAAGCATATGAGTGTATGAGTGTGTGTTTAACAGACACAGAACAGTCCATCCAAAAGCAACAGAGTACATGTTCTTCTCAAGCACATGTGGAATATTCTTCAGGACAGATAATATGTTAGTGCACAAAATAAGCATTAACAAAAGGCAGAAGATTAAAATCATATCAAGCATTTTTTCTGACCACAGTGATATGAATCTAGAAACATGAACAAAACTGAAAAATTCACAGATTTGTGGAGATGAAATATCATGCTACTGAACAACCAATGAATTAAAGAATAAATCAAAAGAGAAACACATACCCTAAGAGAAATGAAATGGAAATACAACATACTGAAGCTTATGGGATGCAGGAAAAGCAGTTCAAAGAGGAAAGTTCATAGTAATAAATGCCGACATCAAGAAATATGAAAAATCTCAAACAACTTAACTTTATGCCTCATGGAACTAAAGAAAGAACAAATGAAGCCCGAAGTTAGGAGGAGCAAGGAAATAACAAAGATCAGGGTTGAAATAAATGAAATAGAAACTAAAAGAACAATAGAAAATACCAATGAAACTAAGAGCTTGTTTTTTGAAAAGAAAGATAAGCAAAACTGACTAACCTTTAGTTAGTCTCACTAAGAAAAAAGAGAGGACTCTATATCAGAAATGAAATAGGCTATTACAACTGATACCACAGAAATCAAGAGAACATGAGACTGCCATGCATAATTATACACCAACAAATTGGACAACCTAGAAGATATAGATACATTCCTAAAAACATACAACATACCAAGACTGAATCACAAAGAAATAGAAAATCTGAACAGACCTATTACTCTGATTGAATCAGTAATCAAAACTCTCTCAACAAACACAAGTCCAGGACCAGATAGCTTCACTGGTAGATTCTACCAAATATTTAAAGATGAATGAATACCAATCCTTCTCAACTCTATGTAAAAATAGAAGAGGAGGGTATACTTGTAAATTCATTTAGTGAGTCCAGCATAATCCTAGTACAAAAACCAGACGAGGATATCACAAGAAAAGGCAAATATCTCTGATGAATAAAGATGTAAAAATCCTCAGCAAAATCTTAGCAAACTGAATTGAAGTACAATAAAAGGATCATATACATAATCAAGTGGGACTTATCTTGGGGATGCAAGGATGGTTCAACATCCACAAACCAATGTGATACACATTAAAAAATGAACTATAAAAACCATATGATTTCAGTAGATGCAGAAAAAAGCATCCGACAAAATTCAACATTCACTTATGACAAAAGTTCAACAAGTAAATAAAGAGGAAGTGTACCTCAACATCATAAAGGCCATATATGATAAGACAACAGCAAACATCATACTCAATGGTGAAAGGCTGAAAGCTTTTCCTCTAAGATCAGGAACAAAAGAAGGATGCCCACTCTCACCACTTGTAACGTTTTTTGTGTTTTTTGTTTTTGTTTTTTGAGACAGAGCATGAACGGGGGAGGGTCAGAGAGAGAGGGAGACACAGAATCCAAAGAAGGCTCCAGGCTCTGAGCTGTCAGCACAGAGCCTGACATGGGGCTCGAACTCACGGACCGCAAGATCATGACCTGAGCCAAAGTCAGATGCTTAACCGACTGAACCATCCAGGTGCCCCCCACTCTCACCACTTTTATTCAACATAGTATTACACGTCCTAGTCTAGAGCATTAGCAAGAAAAAGAAATAAAGGGCATCCATACAGGAAAGAAGTAAAACTGTTACTATTTGAAGATAACATGATATTGTAGATCTAAAGACTCTACCCAAACTGTTAGAATAAACTGATACAAAATCAATACACAAAAATCTGTTGCATTTCTATACATTAATAATGAACTATAAATTAAGAAAGCAGTCTTATTCACAATGGTATAAAAAAATCTAGTAATAAATTTAACCAAGGAGGTGCAAGATTGTACACTTAAACCTGTAGGACACTGATGAAAGAAATGGAAGAAGACACAAATAAATGGAAAGATATTCTGTGCTCATGGACTGGGGAAAATTAATATTGTTAAAATGTCCCTATCACCCAAAGCCATGTATAGATTCAATGCAATACCTATCAAGATTCCTATGGGATTTTTTCCAGAAATAGAACAAGTAATCCTAAAATTTGTATGGAGCCACAAAAGATCCTGAATAGCCAAAGAAATCTTGAGGAAGAAAAACAAACCTGGAGGCATCAAACTTTGTGATTTCGAACTCTGTTACAAAGCTATAGTCATTAAGACAGTATAGTGTTGGCATAAAAACAAACATGGATAAATGAAACAGAATAGAGAGACCAGGAATAAACCCATGTATATATGGCCAATTAATTTCCAACAAAGGAGCCAAGGTATACAATCAATAAAAGATAGTCTCTTCAATAAATGGTGTTGGAAAAACTGGGCAGCCACATACTAAAGAATAAAACTAGACCCTATCTTACACCGCACACAAAAATTAACTCAAAATAGATTAAAGAATTTCACATAAGACATAAAACCATAAAACTCCCAGAAGAAAACATAGGCAGTAAGCAGCCTGGGCAATGAATACTATGAAGAAAATCCTGTGGGAGTCTAAGCACTATTACATATAAAATTGTATCAACAGAGTAAAAGGACAGAAGCATGTAGTCATAGGGTAAGATGCCTGGGTTATGACTGTGCCATGCCTGTAGATGGTTATCTATAATCCTACTATTGTGATGGTTGATAACCTGAGATTCTTAAGGAGTAGTACAGATGAAATATCTCTCACCTTGGGAATGAGGTATTCTCTGAACTTAGTGTCCTGAGTCACTGAATGGGGCAGACTGTTGGGGACGAGGTCAATGAATCTCTGGATCTCATGTACCACAGCATCTGTGTAAGGCATGTGGCTCCTGTCCTGCATGCAGGGGCTCCGATGTCTGCCAACCACACGGTCAATCTCTTCCTGGACTTTAGCTGGCAAGATAGGAATCAGAATTTATGTGAAATGAAAATGTCTTTTGGCTTAATCTTCTTATCATGGTTACATTGTGGTAAGAGATTGGGCGAAGGGAAAATCACTTATGGTTACTACCATAGGGGGAAAAAAAAGAAATAATTTGTTTCCTGGGCAAATTGGGATCTCATTAGAGACTTAAATATATGTACATATAAAACATAATTATACCATGAAATTCAGCTCTGATTCTCTGTTTTGTGTACTTTTGTTTGATAACTCAAGGATCTATGATCTTGAAGGCTCACTACAGACCATGCTGTTTAACCACTTTGTGTATGCCAGTATTTTTAGAAAAAATTTTTAAACTTTATTTATTTATTTTGAGAGAGAGACTGAAGGAGGGGCAGAGAGGGAGAAAAGAGAGAATCCCAAGTAGGCTTCATGCTGTCAGTGTGGAGCCTGATACAGGGATCAATCCCAGGATTCATGAGATCATGACCTGAACCGAAATCAAGAGACACCTAACTGACTGAGCCACCCAGGCATCCTCAGTTTTCATTTAAAGTATGTAAGTTCCAGGGGCGCCTGGGTGGCTCAGTTGGTTAAGTGTCCGACTTCGGCTCAGGTCATGATCTCACAGTCCGTGAGTTTGAGCCCCGCGTCGGGCTCTGTGCTGACAGCTCAGAGCCTGGAGCCTGCTTCGGATTCTGTGTCTCCCTCTCTCTCTGCCCCTCCCCCGTTCATGCTCTGTCTCTCTCTGTCCCAAAAATAAATAAACGTTGAAAAATAAATAAATAAATAAATAAATAAATAAATAAACATTAAAAAAAATTTTTTTTAAATAAATAAATATGTAAGTTCCAAGAGGGTAAGAACTACCCAGTGCCATAGATGCTTAATAAATAGAACTGAATAAGATATTTGATTCAGCATGTAGTAACAAGAAGTTAACATTTATTTAGAATGCAACATATGACAGGCATGTTGTATGACATATTACATTACTTTATAATTCCTCAAAATAGGTCTATGTGTTAGGTATTACTTTATGTGTCTTAAAAATGAGGAAACAGGTCCATAAAAGTAAATATACTTCTCAAGGACACCCAGGTATTACGTGGTTTTTCTCATTTCCAAACCCACAATCTTAGCAATTGAATAAGATTACTGAAATTTATGTTATGTTAATTGAAATGAAATTTATGTAATTTATGTTAATGAGTTATATTTTTCCTTTATTTGCAAAATATATGATACATAGTTTAAGTAGGACTACTCATTAGTTAAAACAAACGTTTATTAACTTTTTCTTACGAGGGAGACGCTCTATGAATGTTAGGAAGCATTATCATCTCCCTTAAACAGATGAGGGGCCAAGATAAGCAGAGAGATAGTCATGAGTTGAGGTCACACAGCTACTTACTAGTAAAGTCAGAATCCAAAGCCACTGTAGATAGTCTATAACCCATTTTCTCCAGTACCATGTTGCTACTTTGGTCAAATGGTATTTATCTACTACCTGAAGAAGGAGTCTTTGTTAATGGATTATGTGAAAATTCTGTGGTTTGGTAGCTATCAAGAAAACTTAGGAATTTTAGAGAAGTTTGAAGTTTTACCTTCTCAGGTTGAGAGGCTGGATTTTTATCTAGAAGAGAGTGATTATATAAAGTGGTTAGGAGCTACTTGTAAAATCAGAATGCTTAAAAGAATGGCACAGTAAGGGATGAAAATGGGAAGAAAAGAAAAATACAAACGGATGTGATGTAAGAAAAAATGAAAATGGAAGCAATGTGGAAATACTACACAAAAAGGGCTTTTGCAATATACACAAGACTTAAAGGTTTGGAGAAAAATGTCTTGGTATTCATAGTCATAGTCAACATAGGTCTAATAAGAGTTAGTGAAGTTATTTGGCTGAAAGCGCGTCACTCAAAGGAAATAGTGCCATTATATCGCACAACGTATGAAAACGGGAATTTTGAGGCTATGCTTGTAAATTGCATCATTTGGAAAGCAGTTATTCTTTATAATGGGAGGACAGAAGGACCTTCAACAAAGGAGAAAAATCTGGTGATGTCATGGAGAAAAGCTTCCTGAGATGTAACTGTACTAAGAGTGTCTTAATGTGCCAAAGCACAGAACACTATACAGTAGTGAAGGAAATATCCTCTGAGATTAGCACTCAATAAAAAAAAGGAGGAAAAATGGAAAGGTATTTGCAAGAGAAATCATATTTGTGAGGAAGAATTTATTTGCCCAAAAGGGTATATTTGAAAAGAATTTATTTGAATAAAGTTTTATTTAGGGAGTCTCTTTGATAAAGAAAGATTGTAATTTCGTTGAGTCAATCCTTACACTGCAAATTCATTTGAGAAGAAATATCTTTTGATATAGGCTCCTGGGTGGCTCAGTCGCTTAAGCGTTGGAACCTTGATTTTGGCTTGGGTCATGATCTTGCAGTTTTGTGAGTTCGAGCCCCACATCCGGCTCTGTGCTGACAGTGCAGAGCCTGCTTGGGATTCTCTCTCTCTCCCTCTCGAGCCTTCTCACTCTCTGTCTCTCTCTCTCTCAAAAACAAATAAACTTAAAAAAATATCCTTTGACAAAAATACATTTATCTGGACATGGAAGGCATGTCAAGTGACATCTTTTTAGAGAAAGCAGAAGGCTGATCCTTTTAGATCCTAAGAAAACTCTGCTTATTGCATCTGTCCCAACACAAATCAGGGACATTCCACCACAGCAGGGAAAACAATGGCCTCTGCCCTTCAAATTTCTGCTGCTGTTTAAATATTTCATTATCTTTTTGTACTATAATTGAATTTGAATTTAATTTATCCAATGACAGGAAGATGTACTAATGATGGAAATATTTTTTTAAATTCTTTTAATCTTTATTTTTGAGAGACAGAGAGAGAGAGAGACAGACAGACAGACAGAGTTCAAGCAGGGGATGGACCCAGAGAGAGGGAGGCATAGAATCCAAAGCAGGCTCCAGGCTCTGAGCTGTTAGCACAGAGCCCGACGCAGGGCTTGAACTCACAGCTGTGAGATCATGACCTGAGCCAAAGTGGGACGGACGCCCAACCGACTGAGCCAACCAGGTGCCCCAGAAATATTTTTTTATTTAAATGTTTATTTATTTATTTTTGAGAGAGAATGAGCGGTGGAGGGGCAGAGAGAGAGAGAGGGAAAGAAAGAATCCCAAGCAGGTTCCACACTGTCAGCTCAGAGCCAGACTCGGTGCTCAATCCCACAAACTGTGAGATCATGACTTGAGCAGAAATCAAGAGTCAGATGCTTAACTGGCTGAGCCACCCAGGCGCTCCTAATGATGGAAAAATTTTCCTGTGCATTGTCTAGGCAGGTGAAGAGCGGGATAGTTGTCAGTGTCGCCTTCTAATGTCTACCAGGAATTTCATCCTGCCCATCACCTGTGACCATACCTGTGACCTCTGGGTGCTTCAGCAGGAGCAGGAGTCCATACCTCAGGGTGGTGCTCGTTGTCTCTGTTCCTGCACTAATCACATCCCAGACAGTAAAGATCAAGTTGTCCATGGTAAATTCAGACTGTTTATTGTGTTTTTCCTAGAAATAGTGTGTTAGAATTACTTGATAAATGAAAGAGCCTCAGAGGTAACATAACTCAATATGACACCGTTATCTGGTGTGAGGGCTACAGTTAAAATATACTCAGAGTTATAAACTTCCAACAAGCCCTTTCTGATTCTTCACTTTCTCATCCCCTAGAGTTGATCAGTTCCTCTATAATTTCTTTGAAACATAATTTTTCTCAAGTCCTCACTGCTACTCACTGTCCATTCTAGTATCTAATTACCTATTTTATAATGTCTGTTTTTCTCATTCAAGCCTCCAGAACCACCCATCCCCCACAATGCAGCTATATTCCCAACCTCATCAGTCATCACATCCATGACAGTTGCTCAGTTACAATCAAGATCACCTCTCTGAAAGTTCCACACACTTAATCACTGCACTTACCGTTCCCTGGACCTACTTTATGTCTGTTCATCTAAGCTATAGTTTCTTCAAAACCTACCTCATCTGTGAAGATTTCCTAGTGCCACTCCAAAGGTAAGCCTTTCTAGATTCCTATCTGTTCCTGTGTTCCCTTATCTGTTACATCTTCCATTCTCAGAACTTACTTGATGAAGGATGATTATGTTGTGTATCATTTATCTTAAATGTGTGTGTATTTCAGTCTGTTCTCAAATAAAAAAAACCAGCTTTCACATGATAAATATAAAACCTCCTAAGTCACTTTCAGTGAGAATTTAGAAATATCTCGAGATACCCAATGATTTGCACAATTATAGGTTATGCAAGCAATTAATACATCTTCAGTATATCCCAATTTCACTGGGAAGAACAAAGCTAATCCATGAGTCTCACCAACCCACAAAGATAAAGGGTCACATTATACCTTCTCTATTTTGATCAGGAAGTAGTCAATAAAGTCTCGAGGGTTACTGAGGTCCAGGGATTCTTGGTGTTCTTTTATTTTTTCCACAATAAACTTACATTGGTTAGCAATGTTTTTAAGTAACACATTGTGACATCCTGGAAAGTGTATTAAAAGAGGAAAAGCATTGCAGAGCTGAAAGAGGAAAGAATCACTCATTAATTCACTCAGCAAAGTTCTATAGGCTCATATTATGCATCAGACACTGAGTTCTATGCTGAGTAGATAAAGGTAAGACACGCTTCCCTCACTAGAACATACTTGGAACTTGAAGGAGAGAGAACTGACAAAATGTTCGGAGTTAGAGTATGCACAAGTCACAAAGCAATTTCAGAACCATTTAATTTCCCAACCATAACTCTATGAAGGAATCCAGGAGTATATCACCTCTTCCAAAGGAGAATACTAAGGTTCAGAAAGGTTAGTCAACCATTCTAAGACACCAAACTAGCAACAGAGCTAGAACCTAGTGTTCATCCTGGTTTACTTACACATATTTCTACAGCCCCCTAAAAAAGTTTGCAGGGCTTTTTTTTTTTTTTTTGTAATTAAGAAACTACATCAGAAAAATTAAAGAAATGGCTAAATTAGCTTATTTTTATTTAGGAGTTTTATACCTTTAAGAATGTGCACATTGCCCTTATTTATCTGTCCATTGCTAGTCCTAGAGTGTATGGACTCTGCTCTAAACAGTACTTCACGACTTAATACCGTTGTTAGGCACTGAAGCAATTTATTCAGGCTGGTAGCATGTATCCAACTAGACAGAGAATTGAGAAATCTAGATTCTGGGTCTAGCTCATTCCTTGCCTCGGCTAGGCCATTTTGGAAAATATGCTTAATATCTCTGGGTGACAGTTTCCTGGTCCAAAAACGAGTAGATGCTTTGTTCTCAAGAGTCCTTTCCAGGTGGAACACATCATAACCTTTTGATCCACACAGAACTTTAGTTCTTAATGATCATACAACATAAGATACTAACATTTTCTGACACTCTACTATAGTAAGACATACGTTTGACATCACCACCTTCTTCGTCTATGGATATAAAAAAGGTTTCTCAAAAAAATACCTTGCTATAATTGATGAACTATACTACATTTCTCTATTACTATATTTCATGTTTTAAATTTCATTTCAATACATTAAATTGATTTGATAAGTCACTAATTGGCTACAAATGATAATTCGATAGACATTACTTTAGCCATTTGGAAATAGGGCAAAGGACCAAGGTAGGCATGAGTGATAGATTACCTAGAAAATTATTTCCCATTTATTTATTTATTTTTATTTAAAAAAATATTTGTTTTAAATGTTTATTTTTAGGAGAGAGAGCATGCGAGTAGAGGAAAGGGGGAGGAAGAGGGAGACACAGAATCCGAAGCAGGCTCCAGGCTCTGAGCTGTCAGCCCAGAGCCTGACGCGGGGCTCGAACTCATGAACTGTGAGATCATGACCTGAGCCGAAGTCAGATGCTTAGCCGACTGAGCCACCCAGGTGCCCTGATTTTTTTTTTAAGTTTATTTATTTATTCATTTATTTATTTGTTTAGAGAGATCGTGTGCAAGTGGGGAGGGGC